TAAATGCGAAATTACTAAACATGATGCAAGGAATTTGATTATACCGTATATTTATCACGAAATTAGATAGAGAAAAATGTACCTGTCATCCAGTATCTTCACTTAATTATAATATCAAACAAATTGGCTGCCTACGCAATACTTACTTTACAGAGGAAATGATTGAATTCCTAAAATTATCTAATCCGTTCTTTGTTTTACATCAAATTATGAAATACCGAACCATTACCAAGAAGGGAGATAATTATTATTAAGTTCATGGAATTAATGTAATAACCACAAGTTTATGCATTTTGGATATTCCTGAAACTACAGATTATTTCATGCCATTATAAGGAATTATAAAAATTAGGTCAATTATAAGTTATTTGTATCGAAATGCATCGAAGAAAATAGATTTTTTACTTACGTGTGTAACAACAGATTGAGAATAGAAATCAGAAGCTACTAGAGCATCTGTATGACGTTTTGCAACAATCAGAAACACAATCACATTTTTATGCAGCTTGCTGATTTTAGGCTATTCATATTTCTTTTAATAATGACAGAGATACCGGGTATTGATAGTATATTTTTCTAAATAAAATAGTACGCCACTGCTTTACGGTGACAATCATGATATTTTCGGATTCGTCTTTCAATTTTCTGCAAATTACTACTCTCTCATGTTTTTCGAAAAAAGCCTGAAATATCTAAACTAGGACGAGACTTTTAAGGATATTTGTTTATTATTATACAGGGTGGTCCTTAAGTAATTGTATATAGAAATATTATAGATTTGTGATTTTAAAATATTACGATTTGAGCCAACTTGCCTTAATAAAATATTGATGATAAGAAAGATACAAGGTGTTAAAAGTGAAATTTCAAAATTTATTTTTCGCAATAACGTGAACATTTTTGGACATTTATACAAAAAAAATTATCTGGGGGTTTTTTGGTAAAGAGCGCTACCTTGATGGGCAAAAAAGTTTAGCGTACATTTATGCCACACATGTGGCTTATGTGGCGCCCTCTAAAAGATACATTAAATTAGATACCAAATTATGATTTCTCATACCAAAAAACCCACAGTTAATAATTTTTTTTTTGTATAAATGTCCAAAAACGTTAAAGTTATTGCGAAAAATAAATTATGAAATTTCACTTTTAACACCCTGTATCTTTCTTATTATCAATATTTTATTAAGGCAAGTTGGCTTAAATCGTAATATTTTCAAGTCACAAATTTCCATATTTCTATGTACAATTACTTAAAGACCACCCTGTATAAAAATAAATTGTATATTTTTGTTCTTCGACAAGAGAGAAATAAGCTTATTGATATTTTTAACTTAACTTAATACTTGTATTCAATATTTTAAAACTAGTAAACCAATCAATCTGTAGGACAAGTAAGCTTAGTTTTTTCGAAAGATTATACCTTACAGACATTCTGCGGTTGAAATATGATTGTAGTGGATATGGCTGTGGAATACCAAAATATAAACATTAGTGGAGGAGTATAAAAAATAATCGCCTTTATTTATAAGATCAGACACATATGACAACTTTTGCCTCTGATCTCCTGTCCGAGTGACAAACAGTCCCTCTGTTTCTCTAAGTATCTGAAATGTCTACTAAACTGTAAATAATCTCAATCAAAGCAGTTTGAAGAAGAATTATTTTTATAAATTTTCTGAAGCTTATACTGGTCTATATTCAGCGTTTAGATTTATTTGAGTTTTTCATTTGAATTTCAATTTGGATGACTGGAATGAAAATAGATTTAGGTTTTCTTTCACAATTCAAACTGCTGCAGTGGGTTGATACTAGCATGGTAAAGCTTTTTTATTTTAACAATGCACGTAAAAAATCGATACATATCCTTGCTAAATTAATAATTAAAAGTTGGTCGGCTGTGATTAAATGGATAACTTTTCCTCTACGAAGGTCATGTTCCTTACGTAGGACAAATGTCCGAAGAAAAAAAACAATGAATGGAAATTACTACATCCACAAACTTCTCATCATTGAAGGTATATTATCCCGGTGACATCATATTCGTGTCATAACAATAGATTTCCTTAAATGCCGCTATGGTATTATGTAATTTAATAACACTGAATGAAGAAACGAATAGAATTAGTGAAAAAACACGTCTGCGTCATTGGAATAAATATATTATCGAATTGTATTTACATCATAACTAATTTTGTTTCGTAATAATTAGAAAATAATTGCATTCATTGTTATTTTAATTTCATTACAATGCATGGATATGTGCAATTCCTTAATAATCAGTGTGGAGGAATGTTTGTATCTATAAAATAGATCTAATTATTTGAGCTACATAAAATAATTAAGTCTAGAGACAATTGTATATAGGGTGGGGCACTTTGGCGATACATGTGTTACGATCTCAAAAAATAAGAAATTGGAAATAGGAACACTTCTGTTATGTTAATAATTTCACTACAAGTAAATTTTCATTTTAAAGTTTCAATTCCAATAAGCCATCATCAACTTTTTTTCTTGAGCTTCTTTTCATCAAGTTATTGAATTTTCTTTGTATTCATGGTACATCGTTGGAAAACTAAAAAATGTCGTATTCGTTCAACGCCCTTAGATAGGTTGATGATAACTTTTCGGAAGTGCAAGATCGAGACAAAATTTTTGTCAACAGTGAAAATTTGGTAAGGCAAAACTACTTAAACTTAACTGTTCATTTAGGGTTTATTTAATAAATTTTTGAATTTTTTTTTACAGGTGCCTAAATACCCAATAAGCAGTGACGCTTTTGACTTCCATATCAGGGAGGGCGGAAAGGACAAAGTATTGAAAAAAATCAAATATAATTGGGTAGCTTTATTTTAAGCGCCTTCTATTGAAATATAAGGAAAATGGACTCAACATAATTTTTTGTACTTCTCAATTACTTTTCATTAAAGTTTGGTATTTTCCGCACCATTGATTTTCCAATAGGTAGCATTGCAAGTGCAATCAATTTAAACTTCTACAATTTTTTAAAAAACACACAAGGAACAATATGTAAGTAATAAAATTTTACACCACACCTGAACAAATTATGTTTATTAAGAAAAAAAGCGGTAAATAACTATTATTTGGTTAAGGTCGGATTAAACAGAGCCCAAACTGCATAATAAATATGCGCTACTCCCACTCAGTCTTTCACTGCTACGCGACGATAACCATGACCACCACTGTAAACACTTTCCAGATTTAGGAGTGAGCTACGAAAAGCTCAACGTATTCAGAGTTTTGCAAACGAATATTGCGAGTTCGCGTTAAATTAACTGCACATTGCAAATTTAACATTTTCTTTTTAATGTGTTTCATAAGGCTAATCTATTTAATAATGTAGATAACATTTTGTATTAAATTTTCTAGAAGCTGTAGTGAAATATATTGAAAATCCAAGTAACTACAACTGGTTTGTGTGCATTATTAAGTTAAGAACAGTATAGTATAGTAAATCGTTCGGTGTGTGGCCAGCTTTAGTTCGTAGATACTGCTCGCATCAGCGCCTTCACCAAAAATTCGCATAAAGGGAACGTTTCATTGTTTATATTTGTTTAAATTTAAAAAATGTAATTAGAGTGTCCTAGGGTAGGTCCATTTTGTCCCAGGAACTAATCACCAAAAAATTTGATGAAAAATTAGTTTAGCGCTGAAACGTGGCAAACAATTGTCTTGTTTTTTTTTTAAAGAAAAAAGTAAAACAGAATAACCTCTGGTACATCTGACTTACAACTTAATACTTTGGAAGACAAATAAAATGGGAGGGAATCAGTAATTTTTTTAAATTGATCGTGGCCACTGTATTTTTTTATTAAAAAACAGAAATAAAAAACGTAATGGTCGATAGAAAATATAGAGCTATTAACCGTTATAAGTAAAATTATTTTGAATTTAATTTGACACTTGAAACTCAATTTTTCTCTTGAGCAGGCACACTTTGCGAGAGAGCATGCAAATGTTGACTTTTTCTGATATAAAAAATAGCGAAGTGGGTTTAAGGAAACTAGACAATACTTTTTTCTTTCCGTTAAATAAAATACTGATGGAGAAAAGGAATATGATGTTTCTCACTGTAAATCTTGCATAAACCTTTTATGATTTTTTTTTAATTGCCTCATAGATGTAATGAAAGATTCCAAATATCAAAATAAAGATTACTAACCATTCAAACCCCTAGGGCAATCTCCAATGCGTTCTAAAGCAGTTGTTGGGCAACATAAAATCCATAAAAGCAGATATTCAAATATTACTTTTCTTCGTTGTAGGTAGATTCTAAATACCACCAACAATTCTGAAAACAATGCTCCTAAACCAATATTTGTTAAATATTCTTTCAATAATTATAATTTAATATAATTCTTCTAATATTTAAAAATATCCTTTTGTATAAAAATGAAGTTGAAGTCAATATGTTTTGCCTTTATTTTTCATGCTGTTTCTAGTTATATTTCATTTCATTTCATTTTGAAACTTAATTTTATATTTACATATTCAGCGATTCCCTTGATAAATTTGTATTAGTACAAATTATCCTTAGAATTTGCATCTAATTGGTTAAAAATTGCCAGAAATGCCAATCCCATTAATTAATATTTTGTGAAGAAAATATTTTAATTGGTGAAATGTTAAAATCTAAGCATTTATTTTAAAGAAGTGAACGATTAATGTAATAATCATTCCTGTTATTTATTTTTTATTACAACGGACTAGACTGGAACAGTTCCATGTGTCTGTGACTTAAATGAAACACGCTGTAGACGATTATGTCATATCTTGAAACATTTGTCAAAATAATTCGCACCAATGAAAAAAAATCAAATAACACTTCCGTAATTTTTAAATGTAACGATCATTAATCTTGTGCTCCGAGGAACACAATTGTTACAATGTTGCAGTCAGATTCATTCATCTGCCGCTAGCGGCATCCAAGTGGTCTAGTCGTCTCCACTTGCTTGGTTTCATTCGTTTTTGGACTTTATCGCTTCTCTTACCTCCAGTTCCAAGTCGCTCAGTTGGCTCTGACTCTTTTAGGAGGACGGTTGTTGCGTCTGTTCCGACCGGCGTACTAGATCGCGATCCGCGACAACGAATTTTGCGCCGCGTTTTGTTTTCTGTGGACGCGCCGCCTCGATTTTTGTCGTTGCAGCTGAACGGTAGCGATTCTGTTGCTGGCATACCATTTTTGCGAAGGTAAGTGGCTCTGCAAAAAACACGTGGTTTGTTTATTTGTACGTTTATGCACTTGTCGTTAACCTTCAAGCTGCCCCGGCATTAAACGCTTAAGATGCATGGTCACGTTAGGTACAGCGTTGAGGTACGGCTTCTGACCTATATATTTGCGATTTCGTAAAAATGCCGGCGGGAAATGCCCGTGCCAAGAAAACCGGCACTTTCTCTGTGAATTCTTCGTTAAAAATGTAAAAACAACGTAACTTTCAATTAAGTCTTCAAACAATCCTTAACGTAAAAAATGAAACAAAAAAATGTTTAATAAAACGAGGAAACAATGCGAAATAAATCTTACTATAAAGAAGTTAAACATTTAGGAAATTAGTATCTACTTTTTTTACTTAGCATCAAAATTGTACTTGTTCTCTGAACAAGAAATAAAATCATTTAATTTACCCTGTAAATCAAATTATTAAAATACAGTGTCAATGACCGTCAGGTAGGTAAGTAAATATTACCTTTTGCATGTCATAAATTAAAAATTGATGACTGACTGGATTTGGGGATGTTGCATTAATGAGATAAGAATCTATTAAAGTTGCGGTGGTCTAAGGCTTTTTTGAAAATGAAGTATGCTACATATCTCACTAAGAATGTCTCTGTTACCTTCATTTTGAAACCTCATGTTTTATTCAGCACAAATCCAGGTAAATATTACCGCTAACATTGTAGGTACTCTCTGTTATTGGTATTTTAAACAAACTGAAAATTTAACTGAATTATTGAACTAGTAGATTATTTGCTTTAGGTGGATTTGTGTGTATATATGATTTTAATTATAATATATACTGTACTTCCAAAGAATTACTTTATATTTACATTCTACAACAATTTTGAAAAAGTTTGTTTTAATATGTGCGTAGATATACAGGTATTGGTTAAATAAAAGCAGATAAAAAATGTAACGATTTTAAGTGCTATTTGTAAAACATCGGTTATTATACTTTAATTTTTTTATGAAGCAATCTTAGCGTGTACTTGTAACAGCAAAGAAGTATGGTTTCCTGTAGTTTCTATAGATTTTATATTTAATAAGGAAATTACTCTTCTTTTTTCAAAAGTTCTGTTAAAAAAGTTGCGCACCTATAGATTTTATGCATTATAATCACTAAACTTCACTTCAGTTATTTTTCTAAGGAGATGGAAGCACGTAATTGCTTTTTAGAATAATTATAATAATTATACTCTTATTCATCATATCTGTAATAGCTACATGCGAAAAGATAGTTTTCTTGTCATATTGAAACGGATTATTCTTCGTAATAAATATGTGAATGTAATAATTATACGTGTCTGACAGTTAAATTTTTAAATGCATTTGTAGAGTTTAGAGATTTGTTCAATTTTTTCTTGACAAACAACGTGTTTTTAACATCTACTTTCAATTGTTTTAGCTATTTCTGAGGTTATAAACATAAAACTTGTTATGCTTTGTGGATATACCATAAAATATAAGGCTATTTTGTAAAGATTTTTGATATACGTTCTGAATATTACTCAATATAAATATTTATGAACACGAAATTTGAATTTATTCATATAATTTTGTTTATTTTTATTTACATTTTATCTTTTACATAGAAAAGTTAGGCTAATAAACTGCCCCAATTTAGCTTTTGTATTCGATTCCTTTGTGGTAGCGATATTTTTTATGGAAACGCCTTTATATTATAACAATAATTTTATGAGGTAACTCATAGTTGTATCAATTATAGAACCAAAATAAAAATATACAATAGACCCAAACTAAAAATGTAGAATTGTTCAAAATTCTTTAGTAATACACCGTTACAAAGTACGTATTGGCCACTTTTTTCAATTTTCTTATAATTTTAAGATATATTTAATAAAATGTAAAATCCAAAATAGAAAATGATGTTTTAAACCGGTAAAATATGGCTTCTACATGAGCAGCTACAATGGAATTATAGTTTGGAAGTTAATAAAAAATGGAAATAGTTAGTATATCTACTATAAAAAATTGTGGAAGCAAATTAGAGATTTTTATTAGGTAGATTGCATGAAGTACAATATATTTATTAAGCGTTTTCCGAAGAAAGTTTTAAGAAACTTTATAAATGAAAATGCAGCCGTAATAAGAGAAAAAAGTCTTAACAGTTTAAAAGACTGTTATAGAGAAAGTTGAACCTACTTTAAAAGTGACTAACCATTCCTCACAAAACATACACTTCTCGCCTTCCATGCCAGTATAAATTTACACCTACTGATTAATTATTAATAGTCACTACTGTACAAGCCATTCTCTAGTCGGTGGTTTTACTTAACATTGTCCATACCTATTTATCTGATTTTGAAACTCGGCTGACAGCCGCGAGATCTTCAAAGATAAATCGATTCTATTTCAGCTGCTCGTTTTAGAATGGGCGACAACTAATTAATCATTACGGTTAATATTGGACACATGTTTGCGGAATTGAAAAATAATTTGATTTATAGGTATTTTAGTCTGCGATACTGACTTTTCGGAATTGGTTTTCCGACATTGTTTCTTCTAAATATAATAGTAGAGGAATTATTACATCAGGCTGTTCATAATACAAGACAGTGCATGTATTTTTGAAAATATTTTTTTTTTAGTTACCTTAAAAATGTTTACCTTTGTACAGGGTGAACCTTTTATAGAAATTCATTGCATTACTATTATTAAGATATTTGAATGGCACTAAATGTAGATAAATTTAAAAAGTCCTGCGGAATTAGAATATACAATCAAAGAATCAATTAAACATCAGTTAAAAAAAAGTGGTCAAAAAACCGAATTAAAAAAATCTTGCATTTATTACAGACTTTTTGATAATAGTTATTAACTTGTTCAACTTCCGATTCACAGGAAATTAATTACAAACAAATACGAAAGATATAACATATAAACACTACTACACAGTAAAAATATAGTTACTTATATAAATTCTTCACGTAAACTCGTATTTGGTGCACTTGTACCTAAATTAGAGTAAATGTCCTCATTACTGAGTGAGTTTAAATGTATATTAATTTCGAGTAATTTGAATGGTGCCGTGAAGATGGCACCACTTACATATTGCTTCTGTAATCTCGACCACAGTTGATAGGGGCCCGTTAGATACTCCAAAAAAGCGTAAGAAAGAAGAGCGCCAGAAGAAAGGGCCCTAGCCGGCGGGACCCAGCCAGGACAGGAGGAGGCCCCATGAACCGATCGAATCCGGCCGCGTTGGCGGCCCGGAATGACGGGGAAAGGGCCTACTTCTACGAGGCGTCCAGGCCTACAACGATGAAGTGCGTAAAGAGCGATAATTCCGCTCGACCCCGCTCCATCCGATGTCATTTTTCCTGCCAAGGATATTGGCGCGCGCAGAAAAGCGTGATTGCCAGGAGAACAGGCCTTAGCCGGCGGCGGTGGGTCTCAGCCAGGACAGGAGGAGGCCCCGCGAAGTGAATTAATTTCAACACTGTATGTCCTAATTAATCATTTATGAGTGATTTATTTGTGCACTCAATATTTAGTTAATTAAAAACCAAGTCTTAAAATTAGTAAAAAATGACTCAATTATGGTTATATTTAAATCATATTAGAGAAAAAGTCAACTCTAAATTGGTTTTATGTACTCAGAATAGAGTCAATAGTCGCTCAACTGATAGTTAGCAGTAACTCAGATTTGAATAAAACTCACTCATTTCTGATGCAATAGTTTCACTCACTTGTACATTAATAGAATGAAAATTTCACTCAATCGGGTGTGGACAGAATTGAGTGAAATTTGAGTGAAATTTTTTTACGTTGTACACAAAAGCTAAAAAATACAGCATAAAAAAGTAAATACATATTACGAACATTCGCTATAGGTATATCTAAAAACAAGTCAGCAAAGAACTCATCAAAATTGTAAAACGCTTTTCACTTAAGATATTTTCTAATTCTGGCCTTAAAACAGTCTGAATTTAGTGATCGAATCTCAAATGGAAGTCTATTAAAGAATTTAATACCAACATAATTTGTGCCTTTGGCCTAATATTGTCTCTCTCTCTTATATGGTGGGATTTAAAATTTTCTTCAATTCCTAATGGTACTTTTAAAAAGTTTTCTTATGTTTGTGATACAACCCCTAAAAAATTATTACTATTTGTATTATAGTTTCTATACAGACTTCTTTCTTAACAGAGCATTTACTTTGACAATTATAAAGAAATTCTTTGTATTTTTTTGTGAAAAAAACATATTTTCGATTGTGTAGTAATATAAAAAACATAACTTTTACATTTCCTATCTAATGTGCGAGTTTATTAACGACGTTATGTAATTTTTTATACAAATTGGCATTGTTACTTTTTTTAATAAAAAATGTGTCTTGTAAGTTGCAAATCATTCTGTAGTTATTATGAATTTGAATGCTGTGCAGATTGTAGAGGAGGAGCATTATTGACTGAAGCTTCATAATGTTATATCATAATAACTAATTATTATGATGTTAACAATAACCAGTTGGCAGCACCATAGAATTGTGTTAGCTACCTACCCATTCCAGCAATCAGTTTTCAAATGAATATCTTCATAATAAAGTAACGAATAAAACAAAACAGAAACTTTTAGATCACCGCGTTAACAAACATTTGTATTAAATTAAAAAAAATAACGTTTATATATTTTATAATTAATTTTAAGTTTACTTTTGTGCATCCTGATTTAATATGTTTCAACAGCCTACTTTTCTATTTTGTAAATAATATAAGATAGCCTCGAAATTTGTATTACTAATTTTCTTAAATATTCGTTAGGTTATTATGTCGAGATTTATCCGGTCCATTTATTTATGACTTAATTTGCCTTAATTTTTATAATGAGTTCGGAATTGTCCTCGTGTTTTGCGACTGGAATATGTAATTGAGTGACGACGGCTTTATGAGATAGGTCAGCTAAGTCATACAATAAAATTTCGTTGTATAATTTTAGACGTTTAGTAAAA